CCTCTTGAGCTGGTTTTGGGATTTAGGTTTTAGGAATTTGCTAAAATGTAGATAAAATTTATGGCCAAACAAGTATTTGCCAAAAAACCCCAAATATGTTTTGGCAAAATTGATGGCCAAACGGTTTTGAAGCACAAGACAAGTGATGAATCACCCATAACACACACACAAAAAAAAAAAAAAAAAGTTAAATGATTTGTAATTTGTTAGTGCACGGATAAAAAACATTTTAAGGACATATATCATATATTTACGTAAATATAGTTTGATCTTATTATCTATCATTATTGTGGAAAATCTAAAAAGTTGCTTCAATTGGTAAGACATGAGATAAGAAATCAAGTCTTTCACTAAGATTTCGAATAGTGGTCCTGAATTCAAGTAGGCCTTTTGACATAAAATTATAATTTTCAAAAAAGTAATATTTAGAGTAAACTAAAACAAATAGCATTTGAAATTTAAAATTATGCTTGGACATATGTTTCACTTGAAAAATGTTAACCACTTTTTTATTTTTGAAAACCTCATTTTCAAAAAAATTATAAAAACTTGCAAAATGTCATGAATAAATACGTTTTTAAAAGAGAAAACTCGGAAAAAAAAATCTATAGACAAACGGGGACTCAAATTAAAAATCAGATCTGCAAAATGTAAAATCAAAATAAACAAAAAATTATAAAGAGGGATACGTTTCTGAAAAATGTTTTCCCATTTAGGGAAATATTACTTTCCATCAGACAATCATTCATAATGATGAAAATTGAATTTGGAAATGCCATCATTCCCTTAGTTGAATATAAAAAGAGAGAGAGAGAGAGACAAACTGAAAGACCAAAGAGAGAGGTTTTAGGTTGTGGTTTTGATCAAATCCAAAGTGGCTGTTGTTGTTTTCTGATCAATTTCAATTGACAATGTCTTTTTCTTTCTTCAAAGTTTCAAGGCCTAAAACCCCATCAGAACTTGCCAAAGCTGTCAAAGACAGTTTTAATGCCCTTGATTCCATTACCGTTGCTGAAGTCAAAGCCCTTGAAAAGGTAAAGTTTCTTTCCTTTTTTTCTTGGTGCATTTGATTGCTTACATGTATTTTGCGATTTGTCATTTTCTTGACAAGGAATTTGGCATATTGTTTAGGGAACTGGTTTTTGTGGGTTACTTTTGTTTTTTCATTTCTTTGCTTTTTTATTTTTCTTGGCCCATTTGCTTCTTTATGATTTGGCATATTGTCTAAATAACCAGGTTTTCTGGGTTTTTTTTTAAGGAAAACATACAAACTTTATACTCAACAGCATGTTGGTGTATATTAGTTACATGTATTTGTGATTTGCCGCATTGTTTAGGGAACTGGGTTTTGTGGGGTTTTTTTTTCCCCTTCATTTCTTTGCAGATTTCAGGAAAAGATACAAACTTTATCATACTCAACAGCATGTTTGTGTATATTAATTAAATTATCTAATTTGTCCCAAAAAAAAACAAAAAAAAAAAGGGTATCGGCTTGATTATTACATTGATCAGCTGTATATAAGCACCACCAACATGCTTAAGAATCAAGATAATGAAAAAGAAAATGGAAATGAGCCTATGCTTTGGTGGTTTAATCTTAAATTCATTGCTCAAAATATCGGTAAAGTTGTCTCCGTGTGACCTATAGGTAAGGGGTTCGAGCCGTGGAAGCAGCCACTAATGCTTGCATTAGGGTAAGCTGTCTACATCACACCTCTTAGGGTGCGGCCCTTCCCCAAACCCGAATACGGGATGCCTTGTGTACCGGGCTGCCCTTTGTTGCTCAATATCAGGGTGCGCGTGTGATGTAAGGTTAGTGATCTTAGTTGTCAAATAAGTGAGCCTATCGTTTGTTGGTTTAATCTTAAATTCATTGCTCAATATCAAGGTGCGCTTGGTGATGTATGGTTAGTGATCATAGGTGTCAAATGAGTGAATTTAGTGGTTGAGTGGGGAACTAATTACTACTGATTCAAATTTCTAATCGTCTAGGAGGGAATGAGCATTACAACTATGATTTTAGGGCATGAACTGACTACTGAGATTTCTATTTCGTTGTGTATTTGTATTCTCTATGCTGCATATTGGGGTGCTAAGTAGGAAAACTTTTGGGAGGGGTAAAGTGGTTACATTTGTTGGATTGAAAGATTTCCTATTACAGAAATTTATTTCAAGATAGTTAATGGAATGATTCTAGAGCTGTATTTCGATATTTAAATTTGTAAGATGGACTAATGGACAGTGGCGGAACTGAAAAAGACAAGCTTGTGGTGTTGCAGTGCACAAGGTTTTATACAGAGCTAATACAAGAAAATAGATTTAATGTAGATTATGAGATAAGTGTTAGGTAAAGTTAACTTAAAATGTCATTGCAATTTCCTTTTAGACTGCGCTGCTAAACATTATTTTTCATCAGAAAATATAATTGATAACAAATTTGAAAAAATGAAGTAATATTATTTTTTTTTTGACTAATTTAGCAAAGAGAGCAAGTTTTGTAACTGCTCTTTCTAAGTTGAAAAATCATTTTTGTCCCACAATAATGGAAACAAATGAAAGGCTTAACAGGGTAGTTATCTCTTCTTGCTTGGTTGTCTTTCGTTTAGAATCTGTTCCAAAGAATGGTAATTCTTTTTCAAATATTCCTTTCTTTGATACAGGCTATGGAAGAAGTTGAGAAAAATATTGTGGCAATGAGAGTTATGCTCGCCGGAGATGGAGAAGTTGAGCCAAACCCAGATCAAGTTGTACAACTAACACTTGAAGTTTGTAATGAAGATGTTATTGCGCTCTTCATTCACAAATTACCTATTTTGGGATGGGAAGTATGTTTTTTTATCTTATCTGTAAGGAAATTTAATCTAGAATCTAATTTTTTGCAGTGTATTTAGTTTAAGACTCTATGACTAATTATTATGTCTTTTGCTTAGGCTAGAAAAAATTTGGTCCATTGTTGGTCTATTATGTTGAAGCAAAAAGTTGACTCTGCATCTTGTTGCGTGCAATACATGGAAAACCATTTGGAATTGCTGGACTTCCTAGTTGTTTGGTAAGCAAGTCTAATTTTTTGTTCATGCACATTTGAAGAGAGTAGAGCCACCATAATTTGAAGATAATTGAAATTATTTTTAGAACAATTCCTTCAGTTGTAAAGGTTGACCTTTTTTATATGTCCCCATTTTGGTCAAGGTGGTGGTGAAAGTGCTGGTGACCTTAAAAACTTAGCACCGCTACTTCCTTCTTCTATTGTTAGTCCATCCTGACTGATTGACTTATATAATTATATATTGAGGATTAGGGGAAGTAATCATCTTTTCATATGCTGATGGGAGAAGTCGTTTCAAACATATAATGCTTCATTGGCTCCATGCATTTTAATATTCTCAGGGTGAAGAATTGTTTTGTAAAATTTTCTCCTTTTATCTCCTACTTCTGAATTTAGCATACAAGAAACTCTTTTATTTTCTTCGAGTGGGATAAAGAGGTTATTCCATTTAAACATCTCTTGGTTCAATTCTTCTGATTACTTCATTACATCTCATTTTTATGGCCATTTAGTATTTGAAATACTAAAGTTGTAACTGTCATATATCAATGCTGACCACCAATACTTGTACTATCGATGTGCTATTTATCCTTACAACAAGGCCCTACCATATCTATTATTCTATCCTGTTTTGGCAATAACTATGACAACTGACAAAAACGGCGCTACTTTTATTAAGCATGTAGTAGACGATGCTTGTAGGATGTTGGCCAAACTTGGCAAGTTGGCAACTGTAATGCCCTTAAGGGTATTAGTATTTTGTGTAACAGGTTGGAAGCACTTTAGTATGTTCTAATAAAAATCCAGATTCTCATTAAAAAAAAAAGACATTAGAGGTTATGACATCTGCATTAGAGGGTCTCTTCCTCTCGCAATAACATTTCCACTCCTTTCTTTGTTTCCGTTGTCCTAGTTGTTTTATGAAATCTCTATATGACCATGTTTGCTTTGGTAGTATAGTGATAGTGTGTGAAGAAAAAGAAAATTGTGGATTTAGATGAAACATCTGTTGGTGAGTTAAAAGGATAAAACACCATGGTACTAGAAGTTCTTGAAAGAAGCTGAAAGCTGAAAACAAATATGATTCATTAAAAAAAATCAACCCAAAATCAACCCTTATCCTTTAATAGTTGGGTTATGGGTATTTTCCCCCAAGATTCTATTGAAAGGTAAAAAAGGTAATCTTAAAACCACTTCATAAAATTTAAATTTAAAAAAAAAAAAAAGTAATCTTAAGACCTAAAATTGTTACGATCAAACATAATGATGAAACATTTCCTGAACAACTGGTAATTTTAGAATCCGGGCATTAGATATGGATAGCATTCATCCAGAGTCAAAAGTGGCTTATTGGCTTACACATGAACGCCCAATGATCTGTTCCACTCTCGATAACCTTCTAATTCTTTTTTTCAGATAAGGACAGTGTCAATACATACTAATTCTCAATTTAGATAGTAGTTACAGTTTATTGTGGACTAATGTTATTGAATAATATCAATCCTCATGATACTAAAACATTCTGCTTTTGCGAGCAGCTATGACAACAAGGAAATTGCGTTGCATTGTGGAGGTATGCTTAGGGAATGCATAAAATTGCCACGCCTTGCAAAGTAAGATATTCACACTTTCCTAATCCTGGTTGTTGTGAAGAGCTTCTTCGTCACTGTCACTATGTAACAACTCCAGGACGTCTCTAATTGAAAACAGGAAGTCCTTCATGCAGATTCTTGGTCCATTTTAGTGTCTCCTGTTTATTAAATTTATAACTTGGGTTTTCACGGCCGTAACTTGTAACATTGAATTGTAAATGTTAAATTGTTATAAATGACCCTTGCTGCTTTACCATTTGTTAGGAAGATTTGTCAAGTTCAAATTTAGAATAATGCTTCAATCTGTTTTGCCTCTTCCACATGCAAACACTGCAGCCGTCTTTCCAGTTTCTTTTATATATCAGCCGACTTGTGATGAGTCTCTGCTTTCTGACAAATGGAACATCAAGTACATCTATAAGAATAACACACAATGTCACTGTTAACTGCTCTATGAATTGGTTAGGTACTGTTGCAAGTCAAAATATAAGCTTTGATGTACTCTCTGTACTCTAATAGCGAATTAACCTCTTGTCTTAGCATTTCTTTTGTAGTCACTCCAACATTTCTTTTTCTCTAGTACCCTTGAAACTAAGTTTTCGTGATGGTCGAACCCTTGTTCGGCTTAATCTTACAGTCTCATATTTTGATTCTNCAGATTCCTTTAATTAAGGAGTAAAAAACGTACAATTAATTATACCCTTAATTAATTATGGTATAGAATTGGTAATTTGGTATACTAAGTGTAATTAAGTCAAACCTTAAACATTGAGGGTAATAAGGTTTCCTATGTGGCATTGCATAAGAATGTAAAAATTCCAATAATAAATGGTGGGCTCTTTGTAAAATATAAAAGTTTGGGGCAATTTTTTTTAAAAAAGTGATAGTGTTATTTTGGGCCTCTTGAGCTGGTTTTGGGATTTAGGTTTTAGGAATTTGCTAAAATGTAGATAAAATTTATGGCCAAACAAGTATTTGCCAAAAAACCCCAAATATGTTTTGGCAAAATTGATGGCCAAACGGTTTTGAAGCACAAGACAAGTGATGAATCACCCATAACACACACACAAAAAAAAAAAAAACGTTAAAATAGATTTGTAATTTGTTAGTGCACG